ACAATAAAATATGGGCCGAAAACGAGCTCCAACCCGCTTGGCTTCGAGTCAGCTCTAAAATGGGGGCCCCCACAGGCCTACAACCGTGAAGTCTGTCGGCGCCATCCTGGTGCCCCCCTCTCTCTCTCCCGGAAACAGAAGGAAAACAGTCGCAGGAGCTTGAACAGGAGTCGGTCATCCGCAGCCTTGGCCAAACTGGCCAGGGCACCGAGAGAGAGAGAGAGAGAGAGAGAGAGAGAGAGAGAGAGAGAGAGAGAGAGAGAGAGAGTATGTGTCACACGAAGATAGAGGTAGGTGTGTGTGTGTGTGCGTGAGAGATTCTTGAGAGAGAGAGAAAGAGACAGACATACTTTGTTGTAAACATGACTTGCACTTTGTTGTGTTTGTGAACATGACTTAGGCTTTCAGTGTGCTTTGTGTGGACCTTACTTACATTCTGAATGTGCGCGTGGACCTAACTTTGGCTTGTAGTGTGTGTATGTGGACCTCACATAAGCTTCCAGTGTGTATTTGTGTCCTTGGCTTAGGGTTTCAGTGTGTGTCTGTGTGGACCTCACTTAGGAACTCAATGTTTGTGTGTGGACATACGCAGCAATGACTCTAATGAGTCGTAAAGACCATCTAATTAAGGAAGAGACACACACACACGAATACATTGAATGGCCAAAAAAGTGATTTTGGGCAAATGCCTTCAAAGATTCATAACTCGGGTAGCCCTCACTGTGCACGAACGTTTTTTTTTTTGTTTTTTTTTGTCATTTTTTAGGGCCCTTTTAATGTTCATCCGGATTTCCAGATAAACCTGATGCCGGATAATAAGGCCAGATATTCCGGTCACTTGATCCGACCGACACTGCTGTGCGACCCAGAAAAAATGAATAAAGAAACCGTGATTATGATCATGATGGTGATAAAGATTCAGATTGGTAGATGATGATGATGATGAAGATGATGATGATGATGATGATGATGATGATGATGATGAAATAAATTGGCAAAAAATAAAAAAGGAACGTTTGACTTGCGATGCCCTAATGGCACCGGTGTGGAAGATTGACAGCTCACCATCGCTGTAATGAAAATAGAAGATGACGATGATTACGATTTTGACGGAGAAGTCCGAATGATGATCATGAAGAAGATAAGGAAGCAAAATGGTGATGATGACCACCGTTAACAGTGAAATGCAAATGGCAACCAGTGGCAAAAAAGAGATGCGGGTGACGTAAATGACGAGCAGCTTGGATATGTGAAGACAACCAGCGGCAATGTTGATGATAAACCAACGCTTCTGATGAAAAAACCTGCACAGGAAAAGAAAACAACGAAAGAACACAAGAATGAAGAAGAGCTCCCTTGATGATGATCTCGCCGACGATCCTCCTGCTGTGATGATGCTCCAAGCTGGTCCAGCGGTCTCCACACTTTGGTTCCATGGGGATGACTCAACTTTCTTCCACCGACGTCGACTTTCGCCAACTCCCTCGAGCGCTCCAGCCTCTATAAGGGCATTGGCTATGGAATACTTGACGTGGAAAGGACAGGGGAAATGTACAAACAACATCTTCTACGACTATTCTCCCTTTTCCTCAATGCCTCAGGCCAGCCGCCAAGTCAGCCTGTGACGTGGATTGGCCAAGTGCCTCTGGACGCCACGCGTGCGTTGAGCACTATCGCCAGATCCATCTATCCCCTCACAGCGTCCTCATGCCAACGCGTCCCCACGCACTAGCTGTCAGCACCATGCCATCCACCAGTTGCCAGCGCCTCGCTGCTTAAAACACAACCAGCGCCTCGCCACCGATGTTTGACCAGCGCCCCGCCAAGCGCACGCTGCCAGTGCCACACCTCCAGCACGTGCGTTAACGTCAGCATGTTCCGCCATTGCGCGCGCGCTAACGCGCGCTCTCCCTCCATAGGCTCTAAAATTTTGAAGGGAGGATCATGGCAGTCACTGCATGCCTGAGTACTCCTCACATTCGCCTCTCTGTGCACCTTTCGCTGAATTAAATGGACATCCCCAAAATTGGCTGGCTGGAATAATAACACAATATGAATAAAAAAAATGGCACCCAAGGTTATCATGGCAGCACTACCCAGTTTCGCTGATCATGTGACCAGAAACGGTTTCTATAAAGATCTAATCTTGGCAGCTTAAGCCACCAGTACTTGGCCCAGCTATCGGCACCGGAAAAAAAATAGAGTAGAAACGTTTCTAGTCGGATGAACTTGGGCACTCCTGTAGTGGCCCGTATGTTTCCTAAAAAAATGGTGGTTTAAATAACCAACCCTACAGGACTATCGATTATCCCAATCTCGCCTAACCAATGATCTTCCCTATTCTCCCCTGGTTTCTTAAACCCTAACCCCTACTTTCCCCTGTTTCCTCCTATCCTCTTTCTATCCTATCCTTCTGCCCCTAACTCTCTTTCTGCTTCTCATTCACAAATATTCTTTAAATAATGCTCTCCTCCTAATCTAGTTTGAAAATTGAACCCTCTATTCTCCAATTAAATACCAATTTGGAACCGTGCAAACAACCTACTTTCTCCGGTCCCAAGACCTTTTGGCTGAAGGTAGCTTTCAGTTCCGGGCTCCGTTTTTAATCAACTAATCAAAAGGTTTCGGTGTTTTCAAAAAAAGAAAAAAAAGAAAGAGAATCACAAGAATGGCTGGAAGCAACAAGAACTGAATGAGCCTGGCTCCACTGCTCACCAAATGTGGAAAAAGAGAATGAATCTTTTGCCACAACATGGGAAGATACACCACCATATTTTTTGTCTTTTGTACATGTGGTGAATAGTGCAGCCACGCCCAATAGCAAAAAGAAGAACCAACTCAACATAGCCATGACTATCAAGATACGTTACATGCAGGAAGCAACAACTTGCCGTGGCGATAATTTCAGCCTTGTTGTAGTGAAGCCCAAGTCAGCTGCGCATTCAGACAGATCAAGAACATGGAAGTGCAGCTACCGTTTCACGTCGGCAAACATGTCATGCCACGTTATCGGAGTCTGCACCGAACACTTTCATCAGATGATCAGAGCAGTGCCCTGAGAACGCCGTCTGATGTTTCATTGTCCCATCAATCGGGCGGTGGCAAGGTGAGAAGTTATGTGTTCTTGTTTCCCTTTCTTTCTGAAATTGACCACAGGATCGATCTCAGGTCCTCTCACCAGCATAGAGACCAAAACAAAGCTGCCTCCTATTGACAAAGCACCAAAGAATGCATCATCACCTCGCAGATTATTCCATACCCTGCCGAGGCTGCCGTCAAAAAAGCTGAAGAAAATGTGCTCTCCATAGCATGCTGTGAGATGGAACGAAGGCTCTAACTTATGTTACCTGGTTGCTTGAACAAGTTGGCGACTATTGCTCGTCTTCGGCCTGGCTATGCAAAAGTGGAACTGTGAGTGTGTGTTCACAGTTGTCATGGCTAGGAGTATTGTCCCATTTGCTGTTGGAGTTGTCGATGGATCCTTTGAGCTTTTCGGCATTCTCAGCTGCTAAGTGAGCAAGCTTGTCACCATTGCGAGTCAAACAGTCAGCCGATTTGGCAATCTCTGTGCCTTTCACGAGCAGCTGAGCCCTCTTTGCCTCGTTGTCCCAATCGATGAATGCTGCATATGCTGTGATTGCAAGGCATGCAGTGGACTCTGCAGAGACGAGACCCCACATGAACCCGGAAATGCCGAAATGCAGCACAAAAACGATACAGATGGCGAGCGGCAATCCTATACAGTAGAATGCCACAATGCTGACAACAAGCAGAAAATTGGGGCGAGAACATCCCATCAGAATTCCGGCCCCTGTGTACTGCAGACTGAAAAATAGCTCTGCCACTCCAAGCAGGGGCATCCCCTCTGCGATAACAAGCTGTACAGAGTGGATGTTGGTAAATAAGGAGGCCAGCTGGCTGCCAAACAACAATATAATCAGCATATTGATCACGCCGAGGCCACCACCAACGAGCCATGCCACAAACGCCGCAAGACGAGCCCGCCACGGTTCATTTGCTCCCAGCTCCATCCCAACCCGTGTGCTTGCAGAGACGCTGACACCCAAGGGGGCCATGAAACAGGTGTAGGAACAATTCAGCAAGATGGACATTGCGGCAACATTGGTGTCGGGATTTGGAAGCAGACCGGCAAGAATGTTGAGTAGTTCGAAGGACCACCATTCTACAACTATGCTTACACAAGACGGCACACCTAGCTTAAGAATTGGCCGCCACTCCTTCACGCACTCCCATGACCACCCATGCCATCTGCTAGGACCTTCTTTCGGAGTTTTTAACCAAATTACAAGCACAAGCAGCAAAGCAAAGTTGGTGTCAGTAATGACTGTCGCTAGCGCAGCACCTCTGTACCCAAGCCCAGCCTTGAAGATCAACACATAATTTAGTGGAATGTGGATTGCAAGAACAATGCATGCACAGATCGACAAAGGGATCGTGATGCACTGCGAGCGCAGGTATGTTCTAAGCGGTATTATCAGAGCATACGATACAAGGTCCGGTATCATCAGAAAGAGGTAGTTCTTCGTCACAGCAACAATTGCCGGGTCTTGTCCAAGCAGAATGAGGATACTGTCTGAGCCAGACTGTGACAATGAGAAAAGCAGCCACGCATTGCAGTATAATGATCGAGCGCTGAAGAGTCAGCTGAAGCAGCTTGTAATTACGAGCTCCAAATGCCTGCGAACAGATCGCATCCATGCCTGTGGCCAACCCTAGCACCAAAGACACACCCGTGACATCTGCGAAACTGATTGCAAGGACGGATCCTGCAAGTTCAACCTTCTTGAGACGACCAAGGTACATGATTGATATGAGCACTCTGACGAACCACAGCAAGTTCGCCAGCACTGTTGGCGCTGCAATTTTCCATAGGTTATTGAATTCCACCCAAATGTCAAAAAGATTCAACGACATCAACACCGAATTCCTACCATCATGGTGGCCATCCTTAACTCCTGGGAGAAACCGTGGCAGTTCCGCCGGACCCGGGAATTCCCACTTTTCTAGACAGGTAGCCATGCTGCAAGTTTCACAAGGGCCAGCGGTGGGCATTGCCACGTCTTCACCGTCGCTCGTCCTTGCGACTACTCCCTTCAGGTCAGAAACAGGAATAGCAGCTGCTGCCCCAGCTGTTATGCCATCAAGTACTCCCTCTTTGTTATGCTCAGAACCCATGTTGCCAGAGTGGCAATGCCTTAGTTCACAGGGGGTGAGATCACTAATGGTTCTTTCTTCTGCTCAGACAGGTGATGCTGAAGAGGCCCTGGTCATAAATCACAGGTCATAGTACCCCCAGTAGGGAGGCGGCTGTCACAATGGCAATCTGCGACCAAAAAAAAGAACAAAATCCAGCAGGGCAGTTCAAGATCTGGAGGAACTCGTAAGCACATTCAAGGGTAGGAATGGTATAAAGGAAAGGCAAAAAAAAGAAAAAAAAAAGAAAAGACAAAAACGAAAAAGAAGGAAGAAAAAAGAACGTACTGATGAACCTGTCACTGCTAGGTAGCTGAAACCGGTAGCTGCAGTTCGGCGTGCGCCTCTGCAGAAGCTATGGAAGCTTCTCTTCCAGCTTGTTTCTCAAATTCTCATGTATTTTTTTACTTTCAATATTTGCAACACGGCGGATTCTGCTTTCAACCTTCTACTCCAGTGTCCATTTGAACCTTCTACTCCAGTGTCCATTTGGTTTGTTCGCTCATACGTTTTCTCCCTCTGATCTGCCCCTTATCTCCATCTCCCACTACGGAAGCTTCTCTTCCAGGTTGTTTCTCACGTATGTCTTACTTCCAATATTTTGCAACACGGCGCATTCTTCTTTTCAATCTTCCACTCCCGACTCCAGAGCGTCTAGTAATTGCATGGCTACGCCGGACCCGGACCCAGACATTTCCGGACATGGAACCGGACCCGTGTCCGGTAGTTTCCGGACGTCCGGAATTCCGGACATTTTCGGACCTCCGGACATAGGGGGATCCGGACGGGCCGGATGTCTGGACA